CCTGCTTTCGTCTTTGATATAAATGGCGACACTGGGCGACTCCAGCATTTTCATGGTGAGCTGCTGAGGAAAGGCACTTACGAAGAGAGCACGGATTGTGTCTGCGCTTGTGATTTCATTCGGCATCCTGAGCTGCTTGGTTTCGTCTCCGTACTGGAGATAGAGAACTCCTGCACACAGAAGGGACGCGGCCATCAGTCACAGACCAGGACAGACGGGACAGGCGGCGTGAGCTGAGCCACTGCCGTTCAGACGAGCTCGCAAAGCATGTCGCAAGAGGAACCTGCCTGGAATTTCCAAAGAATGTGCTGTCTGGTTCTCATGTAATTACCCACTTTTATTCTTTGGATGCTAGGTAGGTGTTTAAGAGGCTTATTTTCAACTATTTTAAAACCAAAAGCATGAGAAGGTAACCTCTGGTAGCCTAAGGCAAGGGACAATGCTTAAACCCCTTGGAAGGTATATTTAGAATCTGACCCCGCAGGGTGAATTTTTTCTCTCTTTCATTAACTAGTAACTCAATCATTAGAGCAATGAGTTATGCTATAAGGCTTAGGTCATTACAGTCCTTTTTGAAACATGTTAAAAGGAAAGGCTACCACATTTCTGTGTTTGTTTTTTTTTTATTTTAAATGTTTTATTGTTTTGTTTTTTTTTTTTTGGAGAGATTTTCACTGTAGGGCGCATGCGCTCGCCAGACAGAGAGAGAGACATAGAGACAGAAAGCGAGAAATCACCCCCCAGGGGGGATGGTCACGCCGCAATCCCTTCTCCTCCATTCTCCTCTCGGGATCTTGGGCACGCACGCACACGCGCCCGGCGTGAGTTTTAAGCCACCAGGTCCGGGACACGAACCGCGGTCGACTACGTGGGAGTCCAGCGACATAGCCATTACGCTAACTGCTGGTTCCCAAATGTTTTATTGTTTTAAAATTATCTATAGGGCATACTCGACAGAGAGAGAAAAGAGAGAGAGGAAACCACCAGGTCTGGGACTAGAACTGCAGTCGGCCATGTGGGAGTCCAGCACCTTAGTCACTATGGCACTTGCTGGTCCCCGTTTCTGTGGTTTTAATACATATTTCTTAAAAGTTTATCCCTAGGGCCAGTGGGTGGCATAGTGTCAAGGTGCTGGACTCCCACATGGCCAACTATGGTTTGAGTCCTGGACCAGGAGGCTTGAAACACAAGAGGAGCATGTACATGTGTGCCCAATATCCCAGGAGGAGAATGGAGGAAAAGGGTCACACCCCCTAGGGGATGATTTCTCACATTCTATCTCTCCAGCAAGCACATGTGCCCTATAGTAAAAGCTCTCAAACAAACAAACAAAAAACCAAAAAAACCACCCAAAAACAAACAAAATGTTCATCCCATATTAAACCACCTAAAAGAAATGTCAGGTGCCCCATTGTTTCAGAAATGAAATGGAACAAGCTAGTTTTGCAAAGAAAAGCACCAACACAGGATCACAGAGCATTAGAGCTCCAAGGAGCGTGTGACCTCCAGTCAACCAAGCGCCCTTGTGTGCAAGCCTCCGTGGAGGGTCGACACTGCCCAGGTTGACAGTGGGCTTGGCCATTGGGACATCATTAATAAGTGGGATGCAAAATGGAGCCTTGACATGTGCTTCTCCACTGACGTCTGACCTCTTGGCGGGCTCAGACTTGGATGATTCCCCCATAAGTGCCAGCTTCTGAGGCATCCAGCCACACAGGGAAGACACACGGAGGAGAACCGAGGCCCTGGCTGACTTCCCCAGGTCTTTATCCATTCGGTGGCTAGAGCCACGTCATGTGACCAGCCACTGTGGGAGTGGATTCCCCACCCAGGTAAGCTACCCGAGCTGAAGCCACATGGAACCATAAGAAGACACCCCGTCGAAGCCCTGCTGAAATTGCTGATCACAAGCAAATAAGCAAGGGTAGTTGTTTTAAGTCACTATACATACACTTATTTGTTATTCAGAAATAGCTCATTAAACAGGGGAACCGAAGTCCTGGCATCGAATGTGAATCTTACTTTTTGTAAGAATACCATAAGGGTGAACATTGGCAAGAGACTCTTAAGAGAACAGAATGACTTCTGGCTCAATATGGCACTTTGTGAAATAAGCTGATGTCCATTCCGTCCAGATAGTCCATTAATATGACAAGAGGAAAAAGCATAAATTAAAGAATTAAGGAAATGAGAGGGGAAACAAGAGCAGACAAAAGTAAGCTGACATCTAAGTCTTCGAGGGACAAACTCAACCCAAAGCTTGCAGGGTCGGGGACGCTCGGGAAACGAGGAACTGCTCCTTCTGGTGGTAGGAGAGCAGAGTGACTTCCAGGTGTGGGGCCTGAGGAACTATTTTTTCCTGATGAGGCAATAAGATGTCCATCTCTCCCAGTCACCACAGTCAGCCAAGCAGCTCGCCATTGTATCCATGGTAGAACACGGGAGAGGGTCGACCAAACAGCTGGGTTCTGGCTGACCAGGTACAGGGGAGGGGGCCGTGATGCCCGCTAACCCAATGCCAGCAAAGGGCTTCAGCCAGGAAATTGGAGGATCCCCTCAAGCTGATTGGCCTGGGTGAAGGGACCAACAGATATTTTTAATTAAAGAATTATTTTATTTAATTCTATTTATTCATTCAATTAATTTTTTAAAATTTGACCAGAGAGACACATACACACACAGAGAGGGAAAGTGAGAGAGCAAGCCACCAAGTCCAGGACTCAAACCATGGTCACCCATGTGGGAGTGTCCAGTGCCTCAACCACCATGCCACCTGCTGGTCCTGAGACCAACAAATTTTTCAAATTCATTTACTTAATGAGTGAAAGGGACAGAGATAAACAGAAAGAGACAGCACCACCCACAGGCTTGCAAGGCTGCCATCCAGCCCCAGCCTCAGCCAGCCCCGGATCGGGGAAGCGCGTGCCCAGTGTACTCAAGCAGGTCTCTGACCCTGAACCAGGAGCCTTCCCATGCAGTGTTGCCTTGGAAAGCATCGTTTTGCCACTGCACTGCCATACGACTCCCCAGATGAACTGATTTTTGAGGGTAATGTTCAGGTCCTGCCTGGTCACCCCACATGAAGTGTCCTACTCCATGTATACAGGCTTCTGCTTAGCGTGACTGTGTCTTGCTCACACATGAGCAGACTCCCAGGTGTTGACAGGCATCTTATAAAGACATCTACCATGAAAGAAAACATCTAAATAAACAGAAAATAAATACTTGGAAGAGATGGAACAGTCTGGAAAACTGGAAGATTTGTGGAAAAGAGTACTCTGGGAGCCATACGAACAGAGATTAAAAATGCAGCGAAGGGAACCAGCAGTTAGCGTAATGGCTATGTCGCTGGACTCCCACGTAGTCGACCGCGGTTCGTGTCCCAGACCCGGTGGCTTAAAACTCACACCAGGCGCGTGTGCGTGCGTGCCCACGATCCCAAGAGGAGAATGGAGGAGAAGGGATTGCGGTGTGACCATCCCCCCTGGGGGGTGATTTCTCGCTTTCTGTCTCTATGTCTCTCTCTGTCTGTCTGTCTGGCGAGCACACGCGCCCTACAGTGAAAATCTCTCAAAAAAAAAAAAAAGAAAAAGAAAAAAAAATGCAGTGAAGAAGAAAAAGACAAAGAAATCTCACAATACAGCAAAAAGACTGAGGGGTGGGGAAAAGGGACAGAGCAATAGGAAAAACAGGGAATTACACCAGAGCCTTCAGATTCCTGGCAATGGAAATTTGGGCAAAAGAGATTAGGAAAACAGGGAACTTTTACAAAACATAGTATGAAAATGTTCTTTATCCCCACCCCCTCCAAATGTTAGGACCTCAGATTGAAGGTTGAGAATATTTATTAAATGTTCAACACAGAGTTGGTGCTGAGGTAAACTAGATGATGGGAGAAAACAGAAGGTCCTGAAAGCTCTTAAAAAGGGTAAAAACTCAGGCCAGAGGGTGGCTTAGTGGTTAAGGTGCTAGAATCTCACATGGTTGACCGCGGTTCAAGTCCTGGACTCAGTGGCTTGAAACTCACGCTGGGTGCATGTGCATGCATGCCCAAAATCCCAAAAGGAGAATAGAGCAAAAGAGACTGTGTGGCCTGGCCATCTCCTCAGTGAGGTGATTTCGCACTTTCTGTCTCTCTAGTGAGTACATGTACCTTATATACCTTACAGCAAAAATCTCTCTTAAAAAAAAAAAAGCGTAAAAACCCATGTATAAACAATAAAGTATCAGAAAAGCATTATTAACTTTTTTAGCAGAAACCTTAGAAACCAAGACAATGGAGCAATACATTCAAATATCTGGAGAGAAATAGTTAAAAAATTATTAAATTTTATTTCCTATAATAATTTTTTTAATTCACCACAGAGAGACAGAGAGAGAAAGGGAAAGTGAGACAGCAAGCTGTTAGGTCTGAGACTTGAACTCGGGTTGGGCATGTGGGAGCCCAGTGCCTTAATCACCATATCTAGGAATCATAAGCCAGGCTTCTGTTATAAAGGTGGCTCCTTGGTGAGGTCCTCCCAGGGCACCTGAATGAAAACTCCAGCACCCATTCACCCTAATATCTCAGACTCCCACCTTTGCTTTATTTTGTACCTTAGCATTTTTCTCTATGTATTATCATTCATATTTTATTTATTGGTATTGCTTACTATCAGTTTTTGTTTTCTAGATAGAGATTTTTGCTTTGGGACACGTGTGCTCACAGGAGAGAGAGAGGCAGAGAGAAAGAGAAAGCAAGAAATCAGCCCTCCCCCCGGGGTGGGGGAAGACCTTGCTGCAATCCCTTCTCATTCATTCTCCTCTTGGGATTTTGGGCACACACACACTCACGTGCCTGGCATGAGTTTTAAGCCACCAGGTCTGGAACTCGAACTGCAGTTGACTATGTTGGAAGTCCAGTGACGTAACCATTACACCATCTACTCGTCCCAAATATTCCTTACTATCATTCTTACAACCAGTCTTTCTTGCTAGAACATTAAGTTTCATGAGACTGGGATTCCTTTTTAAAAATGGTTTTGCTGGGACCAGCAGTTAGCGTAATGGCTATGTCGCTGAACTCCCATGTAGTCTACCGCGGTTCGAGTCCTGGACGCAGTGGCTTAAACTCATGCCAGGTGCGTGTGTGTGCGTGCCCAAGATCTCAAGAGGAGAATGGAGGAGAATG